TTTAAGTTGGCATTCTAAATGTATTTCAAACAAAAGGAAGACTATTTTAGGCAGTTAGGTTTTGCAGAGTATGTAGGGTACAGACCCTTTAAAGAAAGACCATTAATTATTCTCATCACCTAGGATTTCTTCCTTAGTATATTGCTTATTTTAGCTACCCTTGAGTTTAACTCTGAAATATGCCAACCCTATTCATAAAAGCATCTGAGAGTTGCCTATCCATAAGATTTTCATTGACTGATTTACTGGAGTACATCTCCAGGCCCTTTTCTTTCTCCTTAGACACAGCTTTCCAGAAACTAGGTCCTTAGAATAATAAAAATTTATGTTCTTATCCATTTAGGAGCTACCACTTGTCAGCTAGTGCTTTTTCATACATTGAGTTTGCTCTTTTTATGCCACATCATTGTTTCAGCTTCCACTGGTGGCATATATTGCTTGACAGTTAGCTCTTACACTTAGTCCAATTCAAGCCATGTTTTTTCCCAATCACCTGCTATGCATCTGAGAGCTGGACAATGAAGGATAACAGAAGAAGAATTGATGCCTTTGAGTGTGGCCTGGAGAATAGTACTGAATATCCTATGGACAGCCAAGAGAATAAACAGATGTTTTGAAGAAGGTTCAGCCAGAGTGCTCTTTGGATGCAAGGATGGTAAAGCTTCATCTCACATACTTTCTGCATCTTGTTAGGAGAGGCTGTTCCTTGGAAAGGGGCATCGTGCTTGGAAAGGTGGAGGATAAGCAAAGGAGAGGAAGACCTTCCATGAGATGGATTGACACAGTGACTGTGGCTATTGACACAAGTGTGAGAGGGATGATAAAGATAATGCAGAATAGAATGGGGATTCATATCAGTTGTTTAGAGACTTGCTATGAACTGTGCTTGACTCAATGGCACCTACCAACAGCAACAATAACAATTTAGCTTTCATGAAAGTTCTTTTTGGATGCTTATGTGGCAAACTCTCTTTCCCTCTGTACAGACTCTTTAATTTTGTAGTTTCTTTTGCACTTTAACAAATTTCTCTGTTTTGTGGAATAGGGCTTGTAAATACCAAGTAAGTATACAGTATCACACTGGAATAATTCCTGAGGAGTACCACGGACTGCCAAGAGAAAAAACAGATTTATCCTGAAGAAGATGAAACCAGGCTTCTCCTTGGATGCAAGGAGTTTGAAGCTCCATCTCAAATACTTTGGGCACATGGCCATGAGGGCCCAGACCCTGTAGAAGGATGCCATGTTTGGAAAGGTGAAGGGACAGCACAGGAGAAGAAGATTGTGGATGAGATGGATTGACATTGTAATTGGGGTAAAAGAGAGTGAAACTGGCTCAGGATAGAGCAGGGTTCTGAGCCATTGTACATAGGGTCTCTATGAGTCATAGGTAACTCGATGGCACAAAACAGCAACAAATTTCATTACATTTGTAGGTTTGTCTTTAATGCATTGAAACTAAACGGAAATTTAGGGTGCACTGATTTTCTAAGCTAGTAGTTAGTACTTGCTTTTTGAGAGATTATGTCACTCAGCATTCTTTTACCCATTGCCAGAACTGATCACTGTTCTTAATTGATTGCTTCAATTTGATGTCCTTTTTAAAAAAATTTATACTAGTTTATTTACAAAATTTGAATACATTGTTTTTCAGAACAGATTCTTCCTTTCCTGCAGCTCTTCACAAATCTTTTTCTCTTATTCATATGTTCCTTTTAACTTCAGAGATTTTTTGTTGTTGGTATTTTAATCAGGCATTTCAAGATTTTTGTGAATAACAGAAATTCTACCTACAGTAACTTGAGCAAAAGAAGAGATTTACTGGTTTATAGAATTACAAAGCTGGTTTGGATAGACCTTTGCATTTTTGTTTTTTAAATTTTTTACTGCAAATATGTTACCTTCCTGAGAATGAGAAGATGACTGCAGATAGGTCCATGTTGCTGCTATTTCAGCTTAGTCAGCCCAGCCCTGTCTCCCAGAAAAAAACCACAATAACCCAAAATAACTCCCCTTTTTTCCAGTTTCCACATATAAGCCCCAGGGAAGGACCCTAACTGAGTCTATTCTTGATCTGACATATTATCCTAATCATTAGGGGTAATAATGGGGTAAAATCCTGGGGTATGTGATGTGTACGGTGAGATGACAGTCCTACTAAATCCACATGGAATTTGGAATAAATAAGGCCTCCCAAAGCAAAACCAGCATCTATTCACAACACTTGAGTTGGGAGGCAGTGTGATAGTGCTTACCAATTGCTATGTCTAGAGGCCAGGTTTTTCGAGATTCATTGGCTGTGAACAAATTCCTTAATCTATTTGAGCTTCATGTTTCTGTTTGTTTGATCTTTAAAAAAAATCAATAAAACAGTAATAATAGTACCTATTTGCTGTTGTTGTTGTTATGTGCCATTGAGTCGTTTGCGACTCATAGCCACCCTATGTACAACAGCCCTAAACGGTGCTCTATCCTGTGCCAATCTCATTGCCTATGACACACCCATCCCGATTACCCCAGTCACTGAATCAATCCACCTCATAGAGGATCTTCCCCTCCTGCGCTGTCCCTCTACTCTACCCAGCATGA